AACTGCTTGCTTCATTCTAGTAAACATTGTAAGTTTTATTAACTTATTAATGTTTATTTGAAGTTATTGTTAAACTGTTTTCTGTTTATTATAATTATTTTAGTGCTACTTCCTGCTTCCAATCCCTTTTAGTGCTACTTCCTGCTTTCGATCCCTTTTGGTATCAGAGCCAAGTTATGTTGCCATCTCTTGCTTATTGCTTTGCTACTTCTGTTGAATCAACTCTATTTTCTGTCTGTTAATCTATTTCCAGTCATCTTAATCTCTCAAAAATTATATATATGTTTTTCTAAGGGTAGGTGCGACAGGAGGTAAACCATATTGTTCACAAAAATTACCTAATTCATATTTAGCTGTATGCTTATCTTTAGTAGCTTTTTGACTGAGTTTAAGATCAATACACATTCTTAATCCTTCTTTTTTAATAGTGCTAATGATATCATCATAAGTTAAATTGTCATATTCAATGATACCAGTAGGTTGACTAAGAACATCTCTAATTTTGTGAGCAAACAAATTAGGTAATCCGTTAATAAATTTTTCTTTCCAAAAAGATTTAATACAATCTTCTCTTAATATAACTCTAGAGGTGAATACATCTTTATACCATCTAAAATCACTTAATTTTGGACAAGTAAAGTTACTAAGTTGATCATATATGCGAGAATATATATTAGTAGAAGTACCTATGAAATGTCTAACTATGGTATAGATTAATGTGTTAACACCATCAGATTTACAGTAACCAATAGTTTCATCAAAGATAGGTAAATCATTTTCATCTTTTTAATTAGCATGTAAAATAGATTCTCTTTGATCTTCAGTTAAGTATTTTTCCGATCCCTTTTGGAGGAGCTCATCTTTGGATGACTTGGACTTGGGCTTAACCTTTGATTTAGACTTATCCTTTGACTTGGGCTGGTCAGTACTGGGCTTTGCTGACTTGGATTTAATCTTTGATTTGGATGACTTGGGCTTGGAAGAACTGGATGATGGGCTTCCAAGATTGACTGGAGGGAATTGGCTTCCTTGTGTTAATGGAGCAGTTGGGTTCTGCTGAGCTTTAATCATGGCAGGTGTAGGGGCATGAATGTTGATTGAGAATTCAGTTTGAACAATTTCAACAATTCGTGGAATCTTGAAATTATCCCACCATTTAACCATGTATTGCCGGTAAATAACATCATCAGAAATACCATATTGCCATTTGAATATCCAAGGAATTTTGTATTTGGATATAAAAATAAGTAATGGAGGGAATTTCCTTTGCTGAGGAGTGAATGAGAAAATAGTGAAAAAATAGTTGACTTGATCCATAATGGCTGATGTGAAGATTTTTGAAATGGCGGCATACTGAGTCCACCATCGCAGAAACCAAGTAGGTAATTCGGATTTGAACTTTTGATCAAATTGAAGAAACCAAGAGTGACTGTTTGACTCATTTTGATACAAGAGGACTTTGAACCAAGCATCAATATAATCATAGTAATTGTATTGAATTGAATGACCAGACAGATCTCGTAGTTGATAAGGAGAACCCCAATCAACCAGAGAAACAAAGTTGTGAATATAAAGTGAATGATACACAATTTTACTTGTGTAAGTACGATCATAAATGGGTTTAATCACAATTGACTGATGGTTGAACATAATGTCTTTGTAGAAAGTAATTGTTTTTTCTAGATGGAGAGGAATAAAATGTCATCCAGGAGGAAAATTAGATTTAACCAGATCATGAACAGTATGACTCTTTGAATGACTAGGTTCTTTGAAAAAGAGATTAGTAGTGGTTGATTTAACATAATCAGCTCGGACTGATTTAATAGGATTAGGAGGGTATGAAATAACTGCTTGACTAGATGAAGCAAAAGGATTAGTAGCCAAAGCAGATGAATAACTAGGTTTAGGAATGTTACCCAGAATTTGGTAACGGTTATACATAAAACAATTGATAAAATTTCTTATTTAATAGTACTATAATTCTTTTGTGCTTTATTCCAGACACCAGAATGATAACGAACAATTTGTTCAGATGATTGAGGAGTTATTTTCTGGAGAATAATGTCACCATAACCAATATCAGAGGCATCAGTTTGAATAATTTTGAATGAATTTTCAGTAGGAATAGCAAGACAAGAAAGAGACTTGACATATTTAATAGTTGTATAAAAATTTAGATAATTTCCAAACCAATAATGTTTCTCCTAATGAATCTGATGAACCTACTAACTCTGATAATTTTTTATTTGATAATCGATTACATCAATCTCAATCTCATAATCATGAAGATAATAGATTAAATATCCTTAATAAAATCCATATTAAAAAATGGTATTCTAAAATTAAAATAATTATTTATAATTTTGAATTACATGTTATCGCTTTAATTGATACTGGTGCCGATCTTAATTGTATTCAAGAAGGATTACTCCCTACTATACATATATATTGGCAAATGATTGGATGTAATAGACATACATATACATTGCCTGTTGATGGGTATAGGGATAAAATGGACATTAATGTATGTTTTTTTTTTGGGTAGGTAACATTAATGTATGTTACTTGCTTATAACCCATAATTCTTTTTGTAAAATAAATATAGATAAGAAATATTATTATATCTTGAACTCAACAAACCTGAGTATGAGATATGTTATTCAATTCATATATCTAATTTATTGCATATACTAAGTAAATTTGAAGACATATTATATTTTTTATTTTATATCTGAATAATCAAACAAGTCGTTAAAGAAAAAAGACTCTTAGGCCTAGTTTGGGAAGACTAAATAAGTGCACTTTTTGACTTTTTATGAAATATGGATTGGGTTTGAAGTGATGTGTTAGAGAGGTGATGTAACTTAAATAAGATGATGCGACTTAAATAGGATAGTGACTTTTTGACTTTTTATCTTTTTTCAATCATGCCAAACTTGACCTTAAAAAGGTAGACAAAAAAAAAAAAAAAAAAAGGTTCAAGAGAAATGTTGTCTCACATTGTCACTGGCTGAAGGTTGCTTAAAACATAAATTGGCCCCACACCAAATTTTAATAATAACATTTATTTGTGAAAGCAATAGTAATAAAATTGATACCAAATAAAGTGCAAGTAAGCAAGCAGAAAAAGTACTACTCCTTGTTTACCAAACACACCTCTATGTTGGTTCACCTGCTAATCACCCACGACCACGCACGTGCATTCATATAATATATATATATATATATATAGAGAGAGAGAGAGAGAGAGAGAGAGAGAGAGAGAGAGAGAGGGCAAAAATTATGGGGCTCTTAGCTGGAAAAAAGGCTACTCTACAAAAATAATAGAAGGGGTTCTCAAAATAATTAAAGACAAGGACACTGAGGGCCCCTACTTAATGTGGGTTCACAAAAGTTTAGTGTAAGAAAACTCTCTAAACATAATCATAATTATATTATGAAAAAGCTAGAAAGTGATTAATAAATATTAAAAAAAAGGGGCGTAATAGCTTATAGTCGAAGGTGTATATACAGAATTGTTTTAAAAATAAATGAAAGTAAAAATAAATAAATAAATAATTTGACGAATAGTTAAGAATGATGAACAATAATTGTTAGAATGTTGGCAGAGGTTACATACAATGATTGTCCTGTCATTGAAACCAGCGAAGAGTTGTTGTCAAAAGGATATGACAATTGACTGGTCAATAACAGTAATGGCTGGAGATGATGGAAGTAGACAAAAATAATAATAATAATAATAATAATAATAATAATAGTTTGAAAATAAGTGAGAATATATGTTTTCATTTGCTATGCTCATGCTATATAGAGAATTAAAATTAGTAGGAAAATATCAAATAAGTCCAATCCTATAATGAGAAAGTTGATTCATGTGTTCATATGATTTAATGAAAATTTTAAGAAAATTTTGAAGTTTTTAAAATAATGTTGTGTTTTAACATTCCAAGTCTCAACTTTCTTATAATCCTTAATTTTCTTTGAAAGGGAGAGAGAAAGAGAGAGATTCCAATAGTCATTTTTTGATTATCAAGTTGAGTAGTTTTATTTAGTTTAAGTTTCTAACTCATAATTTGGTTGACAAAAAGCTTCCATACATCTCCAAATGCACGAAGAGTGATTGCAATATTCATCCATTAGGTCCCAATGCATAATATGATTGCGCCTTGTGGTGATAATTTTTTTTTTATTATTTATTTATTTAAAAAAGGGCCTAAAAGCATTAGCTTATACAAGTAAAACACATCAAATTCTCTCTTATTTTTAATTTTTTCCTTCATACAAAATAAATTTCTAAGGAAATAAAATAAAATAACAACAACTTAGCATATGTGCATTACATGTGGGATGTGACTCTATTTCTAAGTGTGTTCACCCCCCCCCCCAAAAAATAAAAAATAAAAAATCTTACCATCCGAATTGAAATCATATGATTTGTTCTCATTTTTTTTCCCAGAAAAATAGCAAAAATATTTTGAAACTCTAAAAAGAGAGTTCTAATTTTATTTATTTATTCACTACCAACTCAATAGAACTCTAAATAGAGTTCTATTTTTAGAGCTATCTATCAAAAAAAAAAAAAAGGAAAAATTACCCCCCCCAAAAAAAAAAAAAAATCTTACCATCCGAATTGAAATCATATGATTTGTTCTCATTTTTTTTCCGAGAAAAATAGCAAAAATATTTTGAAACTCTAAAAAGAGAGTTCTAATTTTATTTATTTATTCACTACCAACTCAATAGAACTCTATTTATTAGAGTTCTATTTTTAGAGCTATCTATCACTGTCCAAAAAAAAATGACCTTGATTATGTTTCTATTTACAGATTAAGATGGGAAAGAATGATAATAATAAATAAATAAAAAATATATTTTTATTTTTAACATAAGTACAGAATGTTCCATAAAAGACTGTGAGTTAGAATCACAACTTAAATATAAAAGATATACATTAAAAACAAGCAAAAGTTAAACTGGCAATCTGTGTTGTTACACAATTATTTGGCCAAAAGTCCCAATACCATTCACCACCAACTATCAATTTTTTTTGTTTTCTCAAAAAGAGAAAAACATATCAAAAAACATTAATAGAACATAGGACTCACCCTAAATGCTTCCTTATACACACAAATACTAATTTAGTTTCACAAGACAAAACAATAGATTAAGAATTCACAACAACAATACATCAAGGATTGAGTATTGTCAGTGGCAATACTATATATTCCCTCTCATTACAAAAACAAAAACAAAAACAAAAACAAAATTATTCTGTGATTTACCCACATATTAACACACAAATAAATAAATGAATTCATAAACTCCCACAAAAATATTTTGTGTCAAAAATATATAATAAATCAGTATAAACCAGTGAATTATCTCATCTTTCCCTTTCTACCACCCCTGAGAGGGGCTTGAATTCTCCAATTTACCCCCTCCACTCGATGCACTGATCAGTAGGCCTTGTCTTCTGCATCCCAGCCTTCAAAGGGCAAGGAGTCTGTACAGGTGGCACCATACAATTATACTGCAAACACAATGAGCTACTCAGTGGAATCTCAGCCGTTGGATTGATCTCAATCCCAGTCAGAAAGTTATGTTGTAGATACAGTATCTGTATACTAGCTTCCATCAACCGGTCCACCAAGCTGCCCGGTACCTGACCCGTGAACCGGTTATTATTGAGGTAAAGGTTCTGTACCGTCGACAGCATTGGAGAGATTTGACCTGACAACCTGTTGTAGCTAAGATCAACGGTCGGAATTGTCACCTGATCAACCGGTTGAACCGGACCGGAAAACGAGTTTCTCTGCAACTGAAGGTTCGTGATTGGGAAGCTAAATACACTGGCCGGAATGCTGCCCGTGAACCGGTTCATGCTCAGGTCGAGATAGTTTAAGCTGTTGAGCCCGGTTAAGATCCGGTCCACCGGGCCTTCCAACCGGTTCCATGACAACGAAAGGTACTGGAGAGAAGACGGAAGTGAAGTTGATGAGATTGAACCGGAGAGATTGTTGTATTTGAGGTCGAGCCGGGTTAGGGTTTGGGATTGGGAAGAGAAAGGAGGAACCGAACCGGAGAGACGATTGTTGTTGAGAATGAGGTTAGACAACGCCGGCAGGGTTCCGATCGAGAAAGGAATAGCTCCAGAAAACTGATTAAAACTGAGATCGAGAGTACGCAATCCCTGAATCTGACCTAGACTGGCCGGAATGTCGCCGGAGATGAAATTGCGGCTGATTCCTAAGAATCTGAGGTTCTTCAATTGGGAGATTGAGTTGGGCAATGTACCGATGATTCGGCCGGGGACGACGGTGAACTCGGCGAGAGAAGAGAGGTTTCCGATGGCCGGGTGGAGGCGGCCGGTGAGGCCTGGTGAACCGGCGCTAGGATCGCCGAGATTCAAGGCGATGATCTTGTCGGAGTCGCAGTAGACGCCGGGGAAGTTGCAGGGGTCGGAGGTGAAGTCCCAGGAGGAGAAGTAATTGGAGCCAGGAGAGTCGGCGAGGGAGTTTCGAATCGATTGGAGTGATAGGAAATCAATGGGGTCTAAGATTGCGAATGTGAAGAAACTAGATTGAAGAAAACAGAGCAAATGTATCATCACCATCATCATCAATATCTTCATTTTTGCTCAACACACAAAAATCGATTGGACAGAGCAACAGAGATTGAAGGGGGTTTTATAAGCTTTTTGGTGGTGAAATGAAAGCTTTGATGGAGACAGACAGATTCAGGATAGAGATAAGCTTGGGAAGAAAGCAAATGGCTTTTTGTTGATCTTCGTCTTCTTCGACACGATTCTTTTCTGTGTGAGCATTGCAATGACCACTGCTACTACAACAACTACAACACGTTGTTATGCTGCAAATTACGAGGTTTGTTTTTGTTTTTTATTTTAATTAATGTTAATATTATTAATATTGGATTTTTGTTAGTACTTTCTTTATTGGGGTTAGGTTCGGGGGTCAAACGGCTTTCCGAGCCTACGTGGGAAGGTCGAAGGAGAGGCTCGGAATGACATATTTGACGTGGACGATGACCATTGACCATATATGGTTGCTGCATGGATCGACCATATAAGGGGAAGTTTTTTTTTTTAATTTTCTTTTAGGTATGGTATCTTTTTTTCTTTTTTTGGTATTTTTTTTTTTTTTTTTATATATTTTATTTTTTATGTAGAGTATCTTGAGTCAATTTATGCGTACTAGATTAAGTCCCTACTGTCCAAACAATCCTTCTAAAACAGCGCTTACGTTCTACAGTTCGTAGTCCTAGAATATGCATTTATTGACTAGAAAATTCAAACTTGAGACTTGAAAGGGAGCAAATTTTAGATCCCGATTGTCACCCACTAAGCTAACTAGCATGTGGTTACATAAGAGGAAGTCATTAAACAAACAAACAGTCTTTGATCCAAAAAAAGCAAACGGTCTCTTTTTCTTTCCTTATTATTATTATCGTTTTTTTTTAATATAAAAATGATAAACAAATCTTATGATTTTTTTTAAAAAAAATTTATGGTGAATTATACAAATTGTCTACAAGGCATGTGTTATGTTACAATTTAATTTTTAATTGCTCCACTTTAATTCATTATATATATGATCAGTTACACTTTATTTTTTTGTATCAATATTGTTCAAAATCAATAACATAGTACGAGTTATTTTTATAATTTTACAAAAGAAAAAAATATTCAACAAAGAACAAAATTTTAAGGAAGTGCATATTTTGGAGAATAAAACACGAATTTGAATAACAAAAAAAAAAAAATCAATTTAAAAATAAAATTCTTGCATAATTAAATTATTTCTCATGTAAATAATGAATCAAGTTTCTAGACCTAGTGAATTCCTTCCTCTGGTAATAATAAAAGAAATGAGGCATGCTAGATACACAACTTTTTTTTACAATATCTCTATTGCCTACTGTGGATAGTTGACGGTGCAAAATGTTATAAAAAAAAATGTGCGCCCGTAAATTTACTCAAGAGCAATTCTGACTAGAGAATTGGTTTTAACTAATCAAAATCGAAAGAGTCTGTTGTTGTTGTGAAAGTGTATGTTTCTATACTCTTTTCGTTTTGAGATGGCATTGCAAAGTAATTCATTTCAAATATGTAATTAATTTATTTTGGGATGTGACCTTTTTGATTTGGAAAAATAAATCATGATTATTGGATAGTGGGAAAACATATGCTTTTAGTTTAAATTTTTTAATTATCAACTTTTTAACTTTGAAATTCCATCAAACATACCCAACGTCATATAGTGAGTGTTTGGGAAGTGAATTTTTTTTGTAAATTTTTTTAGTTTTGGGATATTATTAGAGAAAAAAAAATTTGTGTTTGCAAAGATAGTTGAATTTTTTTGTAGTTGGATGTGATGTTTGTAAAAGAAAAAGTGAAATGATTATGAGATTTGATATGATATTTTGTTTCAACCGTGTTGGGGACCCCAGTGGTGGTGACCCCCAACACCCCGAGCTCCCTGTACTCTCAAGACAAAAAAAATAAAATAATAATAATAATAATTTTTGACCAATCAAACCCCACTGATCCCACCGGGGTGAGGGTCTGATGCATTTCTCTATTTTGTTTGCATGTTTTTTTTTTCAGTTTTGTAACCAATTTGTCTTTTAGTGAAAAAAAAAACTTAAAAATTTTGTTTCCAAACGCCGCCTATATACTATCACATCAACTACAATGACACTGTAAATTTTGTTTGCCCCTATGATGCAAGGGATTTGGATCCTTTAGAGTGCATTCATGTGGTGATTTAAAATAAATAAGTAATAAAAGTTAAAAACGACATATTTTTTTATATCTTTATGAATAAAGGTATTAAAACGTTGCGGTTTTTAATTTTAAATCTTTTTGACAAGCTCGCTTTGGTAATTTGTGAGCTGAATGGGGGGGGGGGGTTTGAAGTGGCATATTGTCATTCAAAACACTGCAAATTTACTATAAGAAATGCGTTACAAAGGACCTGAATTGATGAGGAAGGTGGAGGCTAGCCGGTAGTTAGTTGATAGTCAATATAGTTGTAACTAATAAACTAACAAAGCAATTGGAGAAGAGTTGACAGTTAACTAATATGTGAGTAGTTAAGAGTCAATATACTTGTAACTAATAAACTAATAAAGCAATCGGAGAAGAGTTGACAGTTTAACTAATATGTGAGTAGTCAAGAGATTGGTTATGAAAGGACGAGTAGGAGAGGTTAGAAGGCAACAACGTAATAGTTGAAGTTGTAATGTATTGATTATTATGCGCAAATAAGAAAATTCTCTCTCTTCTTGAAGCTCTGTTTTTCCTTCTCCTCAAACTCAATTTTGAGCGTCTATGGTGTGCGACCCAAGACTACTTAGAGATCTAATGGGTTTGAATTTAAACCATTTTATCAAGGTGTAAATAGTCTTATCATAAGGTGATGTGAGTTGTTATTGACATATATTTGATATATCACACTCTCTCTACTTTCTTTCTCTAACACATTATCATTGGAAAACAAATAACAAAGAACCTTTGTATTATGAATCAAAGGGTAACACTCATCACTGTAGTATTAATCCAACACTCAGAGGTTCATGTTCTGTCATTGGAGACACATAATTCACTTGTATTATATTTGGCTTAAGTGTTTATGCTTGAATCTATTATTTCCACTACATATATATTTCCTACATCATATATAGGAGGTTGCAGTCCGGAGAATGAGTCTTGCTTGTGATAAGAAGAGCTTGTTGGTTGGTGTCAAACTTAATTGGGATCAATTAGTATAACTGTGATGCTACTTGCACTTGTCATTTTTATTTTATAATGACAATTGTTATGCTCTCGACTATTATCAATAAAGTTTCTTCTTTTTGCTGATCAAAAAGAGATTTAAATATTGTCCTCATAATAAGATACAATAGTTTTGACTAACCATTATAGTATCAATTTTAATAAATGTTAAAAACAACTCAATTGTCATATCAATTTATAAATTACAGTTATAAAAAATAAATATTTATATAGAAAATTATTCAAGTGTAAAAAGAGGAAATCGGTTGCACATGTAAAGCAATTTGTTAAGAGTTAGGCATCCCTCCCGTCCGTGATTGGACTAGAAAGTACTGTTGGCCTGTGGGGTCCACCACAAGTTCCGTTTCGATAATCCGAACCGTTCAATTTATAGAATTCGTCGAGTACTATATGTTTGTAAAAAAATTACGTTGATCGAATATCGATAGCTACCTTATCTGATCAGATTTTTGTCAACCGTTTATTTTTTTACTGACCATTTTTTTATACAAAACTGATTAATCACATAACTATCGATATCCGATCAATATGATTTTTTACAGACATATAATGCTCAACAAGTTCTACACATTGAACTGTTCAGATTATCAAAATGAAATCCGTGATAGATCCCCACGGGTCTAACGATACTCTCAAGTCCGTGATTAGACTGGAGAGAAGCCAACCCCATTTGTTAAATGCTAAGGATTTATTTATTTTTTTAACGCTTTTGGGCTTATGTATTTCACCAAGGATCCTCTAGAGTGAAATTTCCCTAAAGTTTTCTAGAGTGTTATATTGTGTGGTTGAGATTTACTGGCAAGTTACATCAGAAAAATTGATGTGACTTACCAGTAAATCTCAACCACACAATGTAGCACTCTAGGAAACTTTAGGGAAAAATCACTCTAGAAGATCCTTGCTCTATGTATTTGTCTATGAATCTGAGTTTCCTCAAATGCAACAAACAAAATTGCTTCTAAACTTCACTTGACTCACACCACACTATCATTGGATTTAGGAGCATGCAATGTGGTCCATGAATGGAAAGGCCTCCCATCAACCCCCTCCACATGATTAATTGCATTGGGATGTGTGTCATTGCACCAAACCCATGTGGTATTATGCGTAAACAGTACATTGCTGTGGTGTATCATCTCTTTCACAAATATGCGACTGTACGGGGCCAAAACTTCCTCGTACTAGAGAGGAGCAATTTGACATGGCGCTAGTTTTTCTTTTCTTTTTTTCAAGAACATAATACATTAAAATTGTCCTGCCTCTTGGATCGATAGTTATCAGCTAGAAGGCACTTTGATGACCAAGTTAATTCTTAAATAAAGATGAGAGAATAGAGATGAGAGAAGGTAAAGTATAAGTGCTATTTTTATTAGGTTAATTACCTTTCTTTTATCATCCTCTTCTTATGTACGATTATTTAAATGTCATTTTTGGTGAAACATCTTATTGGAAACAAGCTAACTGTTATTTTGACATTTAACAGCTATACGTGAAATGTCATTCATCATCTAATGCCCATCGTGTTTGATTAGAGAAGTTATTGGTTCTTTTTTGACAATCTCCATTTGTTAATATGTGCTCTGAATGTTTTTTTTTTAAAGTTGTGTTTAGTTGATTTGGAGAGAGATTTGAAAAAAGAAATAAAAATAAATAAAATGAAATATTAATATAATATAATTAAATTTCACTTACATGAAAGGACGAGTAGGAGAGGTTAGAAGGCAACAACGTAATAGTTGAAGTTGTAATGTATTGATTATTATGCGCAAATAAGAAAATTCTCTCTCTTCTTGAAGCTCTGTTTTTCCAAATTATTACTTTCATATGATTTTTTCTCTTTTTTAGGTCCCGAATGATCTTTGAAAATTTAAAACTACTTTTGTGTGTATTTATTTTGGTTAAACTAGTTTGTAATTTATCCAAAATAAATAAATAAATAATTAGCAAATTCTTTGTTTGGTTGAGTATAACTTGTTATTTGATTTTTTTTTTTTGAAAAATTAGAAATTAGTTGGACAAAAATAAACACCAAAAAAGATATTTATGAATTTTTAAAAATAATTTCCATCCTAAAAATGAGAAATCATATGAAAATGATTAATATATTTCTTTTCTTTCCAAAAATAGATTTTAGAAACTCAACCAAACACAATATTATTTCACTGAAAGATTAAAAATAAAATAAAAAAATTTGTGTTAAAGCCAAACTCTTGCAATGTTGGTTTATAAAATAGTATAAACAAAGCGGTTCTCTACTAATGTTAGAAAAAATACACTTGTCTAAAAGTACCTATGGTATTCTCACATATTTGTAAGTTTGTAATCAATTTATGTGATATTGAAGAAGTGATGGTTTTTTTTTTTTTTTTAATTTTTAAAGTATGTGATTGCTGGTTAGGAGATTTGAACATGAAATTTAGGAAGGAGCAAATCTCCGAGCCCCAATTGTCACCCACTAGGCCAACCACTCCGTTATTAGAAGTGATGTTGATGTTGAGTAATATCATCATTTATGAGTTGTGATAAAATTAGTAACAAAATTTCACATGTCGCTATCAAGGCATTAATACCACACATTAATTGATGCAACCAATTCATCACTTGTAATCTTAAGTTTGTTTTTGGTAGTGGTGATACATATCACTAAAAAGAGAACACTAAACCAGTTCTGATGAGCTCGTAGTGCAAAAAACAAAAAAAAAATAAAAAAAACCAAGATCAAAACATCAAACCAATTGGAACTAAAGTGTATTTAGAGCTATTAGAACTCATTATTTTAGAACTCTTAAACAATTTTCTTTTGGCATACCCATCTACCAATTTAATGTAGAGAATTAAGTTGGAAAAAGTTAAAATACATCATGGCAACAAGGTTGGTGAGTTTGCAATGTTCCACCCTCCATACAAATTATATTTAAGGCCGAATAAATCAAAGAGAGATGGTCAGGATGCTGGGCAAGATGGGGTGAAAATTTATTGTGAAAAAAATCCTTTCATTTTGTAAATTTCACCACAAATTCTTAATTCAAACACAATTTACAAAAATTTATTAAATTATGCTTTACATCAAAAACCTACATCATGAAATATATTAGTGGAACACCAATATATTGGATTATAAAGAATAACGAGTTCAATTTTTTAAAATTTACAAAAAATACCCACACACTAAAAAAAGACTCCAAGTACTTGACCTCAAGTAAAAGAATTGAACATGAGCTCGACTCATCAAGCATGTGAGAAACTTTAACTTGACAAAAGTCAACTCAATATCAAGCATTTGAGAAACTTTAACACGACAAAAGTCAACTCAATTGCGAAAACATATCGGACTCAAGTTTGAAAAGAAAAATTAAACTTAAAAGAATTGTCATATTATTAATGAATTTTTATCAATCAAATATGTAAATTACAAAAGCACCAACCATAAACAGAGAAGTAAAATAAAATAATTCCCCCCCCCCCCAAAAAAAAATCCATAATAAATAAGAAATAGGAAGAAAAGAAAAGAAAAGAAAAAACATCCATCTAAAAAAAGTATGATATGAAAATGAAATTGTTTATAACTTCTTTTAGTAATTTTTTGACTTTTTAGCTAAAATATGATTTAAAAAAAAAAACTAGTATTTATGATTAATTTTTAATTTTTTACGAAAATATATGCAAAAAATAGAGAGAAAAAAATCTTTGACTTTTTTGTATAAGTTGTTGCCTTTTTAGTTTTTTTAATGACTATTTGACTTTTTAACTAAAATCACCATTTGTCAAACGACTTGAATTCCATGACTAATCTTTTCTTACAAGATCTTGTTTGGAAACAAACTATTTTAGTAATTTTTTTCCTTTTCACGAAAAGATGTGTAAAAAAATAGAGAGAATAAAGTAACTTATAGTGACTTTTTGACTAAAAGATGTAATTGTCAAACGAGGCTGCCTACATCTAACATAATTCCTCTAGCAACTCAAAAGCAGCTTTGATTGTCAACTACAAAACTCATAAAATAGCTCTCCACAACATCAACTATTCACCATCTCTTTGTTTCACAAGTGTGGAAATTAAACTAATTCTACTTGCACCATCACCGGAATTGACCCACCAGCTGCCAAGATTTTTTGCTCCAGCTAAAATGAACAGAGAAAAAATTACAAACAAAAGAAAAAAGATTAAAAAAAAAAACAAATATAGAGACTAGGCTAATGGTCTAATGTCTAAAAAAGAGTTTTCAAATGAATGAGGATCTCTATGAGCAGCCAAATAAAAAGTAAAGAAAATAAAAGAAAAGCAAAGAAAAGCAAAGGAAAGAAAAGAAAACATCAATTTGATGCTTCTTCACTGCAGAGGATATATGATTTGGGATGCTCAAACAGAGAAGGGGTTCAAAAAGAGTTATCGAGTTCCTTCATTTTAAATAACCGAAGTCATTCTACAAAAATATCAGTTTCTTTCGTATTAGTGCTTACCCTTAACAAAGCTTCAAGCTTGCTCTTCACGAGATTATATTCATGTTTCAATTGTTGCAGGCATCTCACACACCTGCATGGAACATCCAACTCATCCCAACATCACATTATGGTATCGCACTATTTACAAGAAGCATAACAGAGTTGTAGGTAGGCATAGTTATGAATCTTGTTGAACAGCTCAAAATAAGCTGACGCATACGACATCACAAGAAAAACAGCACAAATAGCTCCGAGTTTGTCCTGCTAATTTTGTTGAATTCACCCATGTGTGAAAGGGGTGATCATCCAAGTCAAGTTTGGTTGACAATAATGGGAAGGCAACCAACCAAAGTCCACCTTGGCGGCCACCAACCATCTTGAAGAGTCAAGGATGGAGGCTGCCCAAAGGCTCTCCCACCTACTCCCTCACCTATAAATGGAGGTTGAGAGGAGAGAGCAAAGGGTGAGCAAACCGTGAGACAACAAAGAGAGTGAGAGATGTGAGGCGGAGAGACCGTCTCTCTCGGTGTGAGCGAGGGAGACGGGTGAGTGTCTGAGTGAGGAGAGTGTGAGCTCCTCCTCTATTGTAATCTTTCTGTAATCTCCTCATTGGTATAGTGATAACCGATTACTCTCCCGTGGACGTAGGCATTGGGCCGAACCACGTAAAATATTGTGTCTCCTTGTGTGTGGGTGTGTTTTTCTGCTTGCAATGATTTCTATAAGGTCTTGGGCGGGATCCCAGATCCCAACAAGTGGTATCAGAGCCTCGTCGGTGGCGTTTCGGAACAAAAACAGCGTGTTGTCCGAAACTGCCCAGAAATCAAGTTGCTCGAAATTAGGTTTTGAGCATACCAGGAGCAAGGGCTCGAGAAGAGGAGTCCAACCATATAAAGCAGACACCCAGAGGAGTTGGCACGCGCCCCCACGCGCCGCCTGAAGAAGGCGCGTGAGAACCAGTCGCGGCACGCGCCTCCACGCGCCGTGAAGGAAGCCGGCGCGTCGGCCAAGTCGCAGGCACGCGCCACACGCGCGGCGAGAGGAAGAAGGTGACTGAGCAGACGCGCGTCCGTGACACGCGCCAGGACCACGCGCACGCCATGTGGACCCACGTCAGCAGCGACGTGTCATAATCTCCGCCACGTGTCTTCCACGTGGCAGCCACGTGTCTGCCACGTCAGCGTGGTGTTGACCAGTCAACCAGAGGCAGGAGGAAGGATCGAGTGCTTCGCGGCTACGGTGCAGCCGCAGATCTGAGGCGTAAAAAATGTTTTGGCTAGATCGAAGCCATTTGGAGTCCGTTTTTGGTGATCCAATAGTGGTTTCCAACTATTTGGAGTATTCCGGACACATCCGTATAGTCAGATTTTGGAGACGGAGTTTTTGTAAAAAGAAGGCAGATTAGAGTGGCAGACGGGGTCAGGGACAGTGGACGGAATATTCTGTTGGAACACGGAATATTCCCTGAACTTCTGAAAATTACAATTT